ATTTACAGATGAACTGCACCTCTAAAAGTTCTTGTACCGACTTACTTTTCTATACAGCTATTCATGGTATTGTGTCCCATGTAACCAAGTACGCAAAAGATTACGACAGCTGTATACAAAGATGTGACCACATTGCAGAGCGCCAACCACTTTGCATCCTTTTTGCAGTCGTTCTTCAAAGGATTGTAGGACCCGAAAGCGATGAGTCCTAAAAATGTTCTTTCTCAACAACAAAAACAAACCGCAGTTGATCTTGGTGAGCAGGATTAGAATATACGCCGTCTGCACTGGTTGAAAGGGTATTAAGTGCTTACCTCCGAATCCCAATCCCATGCTGTAAAAGATTTGTGTCGCAGCTTCAAGCCATACGGTAGGGCTGTAGAGTTTGTGAAGCTAAAAACAGCTAGAACTAAGTTTCTGCTAATCCACCTAGCTTGTGATTTAAACCCAAAGTAGCTCTCGCCACTCACATCGGGGTTGATCATATGCCAAAGACCCTTCATTGCTCCGTCAAGGGTGACGGATCGGATAAGAAAAATTGTAGTGACGACGTAAGGAAAGGTTGCTGTAGCGTACATAACCTAAAAAGCCAGTGTAGATCAGAAATTAGACTATTTTCCTGATTGTGAGCAAACAAATAAGAACATGAAAGACTGGAAACATGGAAGATTTTCATTCTTCCGTCTCCAACCTTCGCTAGATTCACAGCACCCACACTAAGAATGAAATGAGAGGCATAGCTTCCTCATATGTTTTTTGAGGTAAAATTATTGCAGTGCAAACGAGGGCTTTTGCATGAATACCAAAATGAGGAGCTGAATGATATCAAGTACTTGGAAGTTTAGAGAACGGATAATCGGTATCATAAGCATCATCGCTTAGACAGGTTATTGTACTCACAAGAAATCTGTTGAGAGGCTTTACGCAAGTATCGGGGGTGATGTAAATAGGAAGAGATTGAAGTAAATTTTTGAAATACGACTATAGATAACTTATAGCAGGATTCTTTATGAACAGATGAACGAATGTAGCACAGCATGGGAGTTAGAAAATTTACTCATAAGGTTCGCGCTTCAAAGATATCTCTCAAAAAAGAACTGAGTAAAAGCTTACCTTTCCGCTACTTTTGATTCCCTTCATTACACATAAATAAATCAAAGTCCATGCGACAATGAGTGAAATCGTGATGTGCGGATTAAAGCTGTCCAATTCGCCAATGCTACTGAAAACTCTTCTATGAACATTGAGGTAGGCAAATAAATATCTACAGACCCTGTAGTATCCAGTGCCTCACGATTCCAGAAGTACATTGTAGTCGATGACGACATCTGACATTCTATATCTATCGTGCCATTATCGCCACGAGGACAAGCCTGGAAAAGACTTATGTTTGATTTCAGTAATAAGATCCTGTGTATAGAACAAATGGAAAACACAACTGGGTGAAAGTCTGCGATCACAATTTTCAAAGCTTACCCCACCATTATTTTTATAACCTTGCTCGAAGTGAACGTTCGTTTATAATATGAGCGGATTTTGAACAATATTGGATACACACGAGAAAAGCTCAGAGCTCAGCATCCGTTCATATCCCGTCATTTACGGCAAACTTATAAGATTTT